GTATGTGTGTGTGTTCTGGTTTTAACTCCTTGCTGTGGGTGTTGCAATGTTTTCCCCTGTCTGAATATCTTAATTTTACATAGAGTATACTTTCATTTAAATTTATAAGGGATAGTACAATTCTTCACACTTCCTTCATTTTTTAATGATTTTATGATTTATTTAAGAAGACCATTCCATAACAAAATAATAATTCTGTTTACTGTTTCTTGTCTTATGTTGACAGTTAAGATTGTTTTAGTTTTAGTAGTGTTTGGTAGATATTCGACATCACTGTGTTTTCAAAAGCATTCAAATATTGTAATACCTTTTGATGACTAATTTATTTTCATTTCCTTTTGCCGAGACCTGCACGGAGAGTAAATAGTTCTCTGAATGCAAGTGGTAGGTTGGATTAGGAAAATTAGAAATTATAAAAATAAAAAGACAAAGACTCAATTATGAGTGGAAGCTGGACATGGTGAGTAAACCAGCCTGATGGAGTCTGGCTTAATAATGAGCGAACGTCTGCATATTTATTATATAGGTGTAAACTTCAAAGGGTTCACTGGGAAAAGCCTTCTTCAAGGTAAAAAGGATGAAGTTTGTGATCAAAACAGCTTGGTTGGGGCTTATCAGCTCACATCCATTTCTTCTACCTCTGGTGGTTGGGATTTGAATTCAAGGCTTTTGAATTAGTAAATTTCATGACAAGCAAGGAATTCTCCCTATCAACAGGAGACAACTACAAATGGGTGTTTCCCTCTGCAGGCACTTTCCCACCAAAAAATTCCCAGAAGCAGTGTCTTACTGTCCAGGGTTAGTTACATAGTTCAAAGCAATGATTTATTCACTGCTCATAAATAAACATTTATTTTTGTTATACAGGACTGGTATATATGCTTAGGTCAGCTTTTAGTTTTCTTGATTTATCTATTCTTTTCTATTCCTTTCCTTTTCTGTTCTATGAACAATGCCTTACTCTTTTAATTATGGCATCCTCATAATTTATATTGACATCTGAACTCTCTCTTTTGTTTTTCTTTTTAAAAATCATTTTGGCTTATGGGTATCGATTTTATATAAAATAATGAGTGAAAGTATGGGTATTTTATATACAATCAATACCCATAAATCAAAGGCATTTTTATACATAAGTGATGAATTCAATGAAAGAGAAATTAGGAAAACTACCCTATTCAAAACAGCCTCAAAAATATAAAATACTTGGGAATCAATCTAACAAAAGAGGTGAAAGACCTCTAGAATGAAAACTACAGAACACTAAAGAAGGAAATTAAAGAAGACCTTAGAAGATGGAAAGATTTCCCATGCTCTTGGATAGGCAGAGTTAATATTGTCAAAATGGCCGTACATCCAAAATTGTTATACATATTTAATACAATTCCTATTAAAATTCCAATGACATTCTTCATAGAACAAGAAAAAGCAATTATGAAATTTATTTAGAAAAGTAAGAGACCCAGAATAGTCAAAGCAATCCTTAGCAAAAAAAAAAAAAAAAAAAAAAAAAAGTGAAGCAGGAGGCATCACAATACCAGACCTTAAACTATACTACAGAGCAATAGTGACAAAGATAGAATGGTATTGGCACCAAAATAGACATGTAGATCAATGGTACAGAATTGAAGACACAGAGACCAACCCGCATGGATACAGTTATCTCATACTAAACAAAGGTGCCGAAAACATACACTGGAGAAATTATAGCCTCTTCAACAAATGGTGCTGGGAAAACTGGAAATCCATATGTAGCAAAATGAAATTAAACTTCTATCTCTCACCATGCACAAAAGTTAACTCAGAGTGGATCAAGGTCCTAGGAATTAGACCAGAGACCCTGCTCCTAATAGAGGAAAAAGTAGGCCCAAGTCTTCATCACATCAGATTAGGCTTTGACTTCCTTAACAAGACTCCTAAAGTGCAATAAATAAAATCAAGAATCAATAAATGTGATGGATTCAAACTAAAAAGCTTCTTCTCAGCAAAGGAAATAATCATTGAGGTGAAGAGAGAGCCTACAGAATGGGAAGCAAAGTTTTATGCCATTCACATCAGATAGAACACTGATCTCCAGGATATATAAAGAACTTAAAGGATTTAATACCAAAAAAAGACAAACAACCCATTCAATTAATGGGCTAAGGAACTCAACAGATACTTCTCAGAAGAGGATATACATGTGATCAACAAATACATGAAAAACTGTTCAATATATTTAGCAATTAAAGAAATGCAAGTCAAAACTGACTATCCCAGTCAGAATGGCAGTTATGAAGAATACAAGAAATAATAAATGTTGGAGAGGATGTGGGGGAAAAGGTATACTCATACATTGCTGGTGGGACTGCACATTGGTGCAACCACTTTGGAAAGCATGTGGAGATTCCTCAGAAAACTTGGAATGGAACCACCATTTGACCCAGCTATCCCACTCCTTTGTCTATACCCAAAGGACTTAAAATCAGCATAATATAGTGATGAAGCCACATCAATGTTTATAGCAGCTGAATTCACAATAGCTAAACTGTGGAAGCAACCTAGATGACTTCAATAGATGAATGGATAAAGAAACTGTGGTATATACACACAATGGAATATTACTCAAAATTAAAAGAGAATAAAATTATGGCATTTGCAGGTAAACAAATGGAGTTGGAGAATATTATGCTAAGCAAAGTAAGCCAACCCTAAAAAACTAAAGGCCAAATGTTTTCTCTGATTAGTGGATGCTGATCTATGATGCGGGTGGCATGGGAAGAATGGAGGAACTTTGGATTGGACAAAGGGGCGAGTGGGGAGGGGGCCTAGGGGTAGGAAACATGGTGGAATGAAATGGACATCATTACCCTAGGTACATGTATGATTGCACGAATAGTACGTCTCTACACCGTGTACAACCAGAGAATTGAAATGTTGCGCTCCATTTGTATACACTGAATTGAAATGCATTCTGCTGTCATGTACAACTAAGTAGAACAACAACAATGACAAAAAAAAATGGACAGAAAAAATCATTTTGGCAAATTTTGAGCACTTCCCCCTATTTTAAAATTGGATTGTTTCATTAAAACTTATTTTTAGATTATGATTGGAATTGCATATTCAATTTTGGAATAGTTTGGTGAGTAACCTTACTCAATCAGCCTAGGAAAACCAGGAGTCAGTCTGTTTTCTGACCAAATCAGCTTTATTGGTCCTTTGCAATGAGACACACCACACACCCTAAGAACTTTCAGTGTCTTACTGAACAAAAGAAAAATGGAGTCATTGACAGGGGTTGAGTTTAGGTGAAAGTTATATCAAAAAAGCATTTCAAGAGGTTCAAAGCAAAGCAGAGCTGAATGCAAAGGAATCAATCTCAGCTAGAAATAAGGCAGATATGAGACTCTGTTTCCTTGGAAACTGCAAAGTTAAGATAGATGTGGAGTAATGCATCCTTAAGCCCGCTACCTGACACTCTACCTATGTGGAAAATTCACCCTGTTTCCCTATGTCAGTGACACAGATCCTTCAGAAAGAATATTTCATCTACTGAAATAATTTTGATCCAAAAATTTTTACTAGTTGTGTGAAAAAATAGCAGTCTTTCAAAGGAGAGGGTTGTTGGGACAGTTTGTAGCTACAGCATATGGATGGGATAAACACAGTTTCCTCCTAACTTCACAGTTGGCTTGATCTTCGTCTGTTAGACCACCTTGAAGAATGGCCAAGCAGGTGCTTACTTTCCTAGTGAGAGCAGAAAAACTTTTAAAGGAAAAAGTGAATCTTTACGAGGGGAGTCCACAAAATGTATTTTTTCCAGTTATTTTGTTGCTTACTTCTTTGTTTCAGTAAAAGTTGCATAGTGTGTGTGTGTGTGTGTATGTATATATATATACTAGTGTGTGTGTATATGTATATACATATATAGTATATATATTTTTAATATTTATTTTTAGTTGTAGTTGGACACAATACCTTTATTTTATTTTTATGTGGTGCTGAGGATCGAACCCAGGGTCTCGTACATGCGAGGTGGGTGCTCTACCGCTGAGCCACAACCCCAGCCTGCATAGTGTATATTTTGCTTCTCACAAATCTTGAAGATTTCTTACTAGACTTATTCAGTTATTTTATCAGTTCAAACTTATATGTATTTTTCCTGTTATAATTTATATGTAATTATTTTTGATTTTTCATATTCATCTATTATACTATTTTTGAACTTTTATTTTTAAAAAACGTGTCTCATTTTTTTCTAGGTTTTCTTCTTCGTTTGTTCTTTCTTTTCTGCTTGCTTGCAGGTACTAGGAATTGAACCCAAGACCTCTCTCATGCTAGGCCCTTGCTTGTACAACTGAGTTATATTCCTATCCCTTCTTCTAGGTTTTTCTATGTGGATAATCATTTTGTCCACAAATGGTGCCCGTTGTTAACAAATGATGAATGATTCTGATGTTTTATCATTGCACACATGTATTTACTGGGGATTTCTTTTCATTAAATAATAGTTCTTTTTATTTCTAGTTTGAAACGCTTTCTGACAGTATCATTTTATTAAATTGCTTATTCAAATTTTATTGAAAGAGTTGTGCTTTTCCATTTAGTCTATAAGGGTAGTGAATGATTGATTAGGTTTTCTAGTGCAGAAAGTTTTCTTGTCTTTTTCTTTTTTAAAATATTTATATTTTAGTTTTAGGTGGACACAGTATCTTTATTTTATTTCTATGTGGTGCTGAGGATGGAACCCAGTGCCTGGCACACGCCAGGTGAGTGCGCTACCATTTGAGCCACATCCCCAGCCCCACAAACTTTTCTTAAACATCCATTTTCTCTTTAAGTCATATTACTCTTTAGCACTATGATACATACACTTGATTGGCTAGCATTTTATTTAGAATTTTCTTTAAAAATCAATATCCCTAATTTATTTTCCTCTGCATCATGTTATGGTTTTAAGATAATTGCATGCCTTATAAATTCTTGACTTTTCTCACCACAGAGACCCAAACCTACTGATGGCTGATGAAAACTGCACAAGGATCACCGAGTTTATTTTCATAGGCTTAAAGTTCCATCCACAGCTGCAGATCTTCCTTTTCTTGCTCTTTCTGCTTTTCTACCTCATCACCATGATGGGGAACCTGGGCATGATCATCCTCATCCGTGTGGACTCGCGCCTGCACACCCCCATGTACTTCTTCCTCAGCCACCTGTCCTTCGTGGACATCTGCTTTTCGTCGGTCGTGGGTCCCAAGATGCTCACCGACTTCTTCTCGGAGAGGAAGGCCATCTCTTTCCTGGGGTGTGCCCTGCAGCAGTGGTTCTTTGGTTTCTTCGTGGCCATCGAGTGCCTTCTCTTGGCCTCCATGGCCTATGACCGCTACGTGGCCATCTGTAACCCACTACTGTATTCAGTCGCCATGTCCCAGAGACTCTGCATACAGCTGGTGGCCGGACCCTACGCTGTGGGCTTCCTGAACACCATGACTCACACCACGGCCGCCTTTCGACTTCCCTTCTGCGGCTCCAACATCATTAATCACTTCTTCTGTGACATGTCCCCCCTCCTCTCCCTCGTCTGCGCTGACATCCGCCTCAATAAACTGCTGGTTTTCATTGTGGCCGGAGCTGTCCTGGTGGTCAGCAGCCTGACCATCATCGTCTCCTACTTGTCCATCTTCGCGGCCATCCTGCGGATCCGCTCGGCCGAGGGCAGGCGCAAAGCCTTCTCCACCTGCTCGTCCCACCTGACCGCCGTGTCCATCCTGTATGGGACCCTCTTCTTCATCTACGTGCGCCCCGGTGCCATTTCCTCCCTGGACCTCAATAAGGCGGTGTCGGTGTTCTACACGGCGGTGATCCCCATGCTGAACCCACTCATCTACAGCCTGAGGAATAAAGAAGTCAAAGCTGCCATGGGCAGGACCATCACCAAGGGGAAGTTTTTCATCAAGAATTAAACTCACATCCAAGAAATCAGAGCAAAGGAAAACTTTCTGGATGTGATTCGACTACCTGGGCGCCAAACCTTTTGCAGAATTTGGAGGGAGGGGGGATGTCATCTCTCCTTCCACATGATTTTTATTTTACTATTTAATATTTTAAGCTCCATCTCATCATGTCCCTATAAACGCTCAAAACTCCTAGTCACTCAAGAGTCAGAATATTTCTACTTCTTTTAAACATCCTTATTACTGGAAACACAATAAGACTCGATGCATGGTGGAACCACATAGCTGGTAATACAGCTATAGCAGTTGAAATAATGTGAATATCCATTGCAGCAACATATGTTCCCCATCCCTTTGTGCAGAACTAAAAATATCAAACGCACAATTATTTAGGTCTATAAATGATCGTTTTTAACTGAAGGAATTTCTCATATCTATTTTAAAATTTTTATTTTATGAAGACTTTCTTTATTTTTCTTAAAATAAAATTTCATAATAATTCCAAAAAAAAAAAAGAAAGAAAATATAGAGAAGCAAAAGAAGAACAACAATAAAGGTAAAAACCCTGCTGGGCATGGTGGCACATGCCTGTAATTTCAGGGACTCAGGAGACTGAGACAGGAGGATTGCAAGTTTGAGGTCGGCTTCAGCAACTTAGCAAGACTCCATCTTAAAAAACAAAAAACAAAAACAAAACAATCCCCCCCCCAAAAAAAAAAAAAAAAAAAAACAACCCACAAACCCCTCCAAAACTGACTGGGGGATGTAGCTCAGTGGTAAACCACCCCAAGCTCAAGCTCCAATATCAAATAAATACATAAATATATACAAAATCCTTACAATCATACTCTTTTACCCAGAGGCAAATATTGGTAACAAGTTCCAGGTGTTTCTCTGTGTATTTGACTCTTTAAGCTATCCCAGCTATTACTTTATTATTTTATATCTATTTTTTTGCTAGTTCTTACAGATAAAATTCAATAGGAATAGCATATTATAGAAATTAAACATAAAATTAAAAGAAAAAAGAATGAGAAAACCAGAAAAATTCTAAAAACTCAGAGGCCACAGTTATTGAGAAGTCAGATGTTAACTAAGATGTAGAAAAATTATAGCCTGTTTTCATGCTGATCTTTTTTGTTGTTTCCAAATTGTAAGGCAATGGAATTCAAAGGAACTTTTAACACCTCTTTACCATCTGAAAATATGCTGAGGAATTCAAGAAGGATTACTGTTATTTTCAGAGAAGATAAAATTATGCTTGAAAAGTGTCTATTTGATAAAACCAGGGTCTGCAGTGTTTCTTTAGTCCTGATAGTTGGGCATGATATAAAAATGTACAGTTATGTTCAGACTATGTCAAGATTTATACCTGAGTGTGTGGTGGGGGGATGGGGAGGGCGGGGGCTAAAAGCAGGATGAGACACATTCAAGTCATGCAAGGGAAAACCAGGGTGTGGATTTAGCTTAAGCTCCTGCCACGTGGGAGGGTGGGATGAGAGGCGGGGTGTGCTAGGGCTTTCTGAGGCAAAGAGATGGAATCCACTGCTGAGTGTCACAATCCTTGCTTTCTCTGCCAAGGATAGGAGAAGCTGCTTTGGGTATTGCAGGTATTCCAGAGGTAGCTTTTTACAGGCACTGATGAGAGAGTCACTTGAGTTCAGAGGAGATGAGCAGACTGTGCCAGGAGCTGGACACAGATGAAGACAGATGGATTAGGGGAAAGAATGAGTCATGAGCCAGAAAACCAGAGGGACAGAAATAGTGCCCACAGGAGTCTATTGAATGGATTCCTACCGCACATACCATAGCTCACAAATTCTTCCATTCAATTCATATTTATTTGTTTATTTTTGAAAGAAATAAGCAGAAGATGGCATAAATAATCACAGATATGAGTGTGTTTGCTGCTTATAGTAAAACAAGGTGAATTTGTTCTTCTTTTCTTTTTCTTTTTTTTTTTCCAAAAAGGAAAATTATCAAGGCTTGGTCTGTGCTCGGCAGCAGAGGTTCTTTGGACCCTTGTAGCTGCATAGGGTTCCTCTGGTCATTCATGGTACATACAGCTCCACTGAACCCCAGAGCTCCGTTAACTGCCGTGTCCCCACAGCAGCTGTGTCTCAGAAGTGGGTAAGCTCCATGCTTTGGGTTCATGAACACCTTAGTATTTCATGACAGCTGCTGATTTCCAATTCTTCTCCATTATCATTTTTGAGATATCTCTCTACTATGCACCACTGAATATCCTGATACTTCGTCCAATACACTTTCCCTTAAAAGTATTATATTAAGGCACTTTTAATTGTATACATTAATAAAATAGAATGATGAATCCTTATGTCCCTATCACCCATGTTGTCATTGTCCTTGAAATGTGAAGTTAACCTGAAGTTCAGCAAACTTTGGTGGCATAATATCTGTATATTCTTCCCTTTCTCCCTCTTCCTTCTTTCCTCCTCCTCCTCCTTCTTATTCTTTCTCTTCTCTTCTCTCTCTCTCTCTCTTTTTTTTTTTTTGTACTGGGGATCCAACTCAGGGGCATTTAACCGCTGGGCAACATGCCAAGCTCTTTGTATCTTTTATTTTGGGATAGGTCTCCCTAAGTTGCCAAGGCTGGCCTCAAATTTGTGGTCCTTCTGTCTCAGCCTCCTGAGTTGCTTGGATCACAGGCATGCCCACCACACCCAGCTTCTTCCTTTACTTCTTGACTGCCATTGTGGAATCCATTCTGCTGCTGGAAGACAGTCTTCCCTTGTGCCTTATGATGAATGCTGTCTGTTCTGGATGGGAGTCACTTCCCCACCTGTTAATTATGTACAGCAAGTTTTCCTGGCTCTCTTTAAAAGAGTCAGCATTCTATGTTGTGATGTTTGTGATATTGAGTCCCATCAGCAATACGATTATCTGCAAAGAATAAGGCCTAAATTCATTGTTAGTGTGGAAAACAGGGAAATAAAGAGCTTCCAGGCAGAGCAAGTGACCCTGGTTTATCCAGGACCCTAGGATTCCAGGTCCCTTACCCATGCTTCTACCATTTATCCTGTCATCCCCTCTCTCTGAATAAGAAAAAGAAAAAGCCAAATCTCATGCTCAGAACGTCCAGTTCATTTTCAGGAGATTGCGTTCCCTCAAGGGTTCATGATCGCATCTGTGCACCTGAGGAAAGTTCTAGAGCATTCCATTATCCACTGCCTCTTTCCAATCCTGCATAAGTATTTGGCTGTAGAATGTCTCATCTCTAAGTTTAATGCTATAAATTACACCTATAATTCTGATTTCTGATGTCTTTTTTTCTATGACTTTGGTGTAAGAAAAATAGGCAACAGGCAATACTAAAAAACCACTCCCACAAAAACAAATAAACAAAATCAAAACAACAACAACAACAACAACAAAAACACCCTCAAACAAAAAATCCCAGAACAAAACAAAAACAGCTCCTTCACCTATGCTGTCTATCCATCACTGCATTCTCATGTTGGTTGTGGGATTCAGGGAGATCTGGTTCAGCCTGAGTCCCAGGCTGGCACTGAGCAGATGAGGAGACCCTGTGTGCTCCAAGGCCAGGTGCAGAAAGTGAGTTACCTCAGGGTGAGGCCAGGGGTTACCCTGTGCAGCTGAAATAAACCGAATGCAGAAATCCGTCCTCAGAATGCATCAGTGGCTAGCAGGTCTTCCATGTTCAGAAATTCCCCTGAGAAACAAAGGGAGTCTATGTGTAGTTACCACGTTTCTTAAGGCCCTTGGTATTTTATTGGAAGCCCCTCCAAGGAGTGGACCACTGCCTGCATTCACACAGACAGGGCCCTTGTCTAAACTCAGAGCCATGGGCCAGGAACTGCCATCCCCTGTAATCTCACTCAAGAAATTCTAAGGACAAATATATTTTGCAATTTTCAGAGCAAATCCCAGCGTGCTGCCAAAGAGCAGACTTCTCTGTAGCCTAGCAACAGATTCCACTCAGTGTGATAGGAAGACGGCAGTCCCTCTTAGAGACCCCAGAGTAACTTTCCCTGACCAATGCATTTTACCTTTTGCTTTTCTTCTTAATGGTGAAGCAAAAAATTTTTTTAATGGGTAAAATATTTGAACTTACTTAGATTATTTATAATTTAATATATAAGTTGAGTCAGAATGCATTTTAAATATACAGGCCTAAATTCATTGTTACTGTTGCCTAGAAAAAGCAATGAGAATCATAATTTGTAGAGAGGTAGTAGCAAAAATCATTGATGAATATTTGGAAAGTAGAACAAAAGGAAGTTAAAAAAACATGAAACTCTACTATTCATATATAAAGGTAGTGCCTATTTTAATATATTTACTTTGAATATTTCCCTGAATCTGTATGTTTATATAGTATATTTAGAATTTAGAAATATATAATTTAGATAGTCCATCTTCTAAGGCAATAGGACTTTTAAGCACATGTTCTTGTATAATTTTGTTTGTACAGATAATCAATGCTAAATCTATTGCTCATATTCTTTTAGTATTTTTCTATGTTCAAAAATATATAATATTTTTGCAATAATATTTCATGTAATATATTATTTTTAACAGGTCTTAAACTAAATCATAATATCTAAATATTTTGGAATAAATTTTGGTCTATTAAGTATTCCTTTCAGTATGACTTTTAATTGCCATAATAATTTATCATGTTAACAAATTCGCATGTGATGACTCCTAGTTCACAGGCGTTATTCTGTGTTCTGGGCTACAGTTGTGAGTGACCCAGGGCAAGTTCCCTCCTCTGTGGAGGGGGATGGGCTAGCAGATGAAGACAAACCTACCAGGCACCAGCACTAGGAAAGAAAAAGCAGAGCATAGTAGGGTGTAAGACATCCTGGGGTTCAGCAGGATCATGCAACTAATATGTAGCGGGGCTACCATTCTAACCCAGGTCCCAAGGCAGCAAAATTCAAGGTTTTTATTTTTATACTGACATTGACATGATAGTATGGTCACCATGGATAAAGACTGGCGGAGAAGGAAAGAAGCCAAAT